AAAAAAAAAAAAAAAAAGATGTTACCACTTCCAAATCCTCTGCTTTCACTGACCAGTAGAGGCTGGGCTTTTCCAGTTTCTGCACCAGCACTTCCACACATGACTACACTCTTGCTCCAAGATCCCTCAGTGTACTACTCAGGGTTTCTTCCTACAGGGGTGGTTCCCCAGCTCCTGAGAATGAGAATGGCAGGTGGCATGGTGGCATGGCCAGACTGCCAGTGCCTCACCCGGTACCGCCTCCAGCCCAGCTGTGCTGTGTGACATTTATGTGACAGTCTGTCTGCTCCCAGAGATGAATCACAGAAAATTAGAGAGGGGAAAGACCTACCAGGTCATTTCACCCATACTCTTGCCAGTTGGCGATCACGTCCCTACACTCCATTTCCAAGTGCATCATCCAGTGTGGTTTTAAATAGCATGAGATACAGAGAAGCGCTGTTCCCATGCCTTCCTCACTGAGAATCCTCTCTAGCACGTCCAGCCAAATGTTCGATATTTGATGTTTATTTACTCTACTGTTATGCATACAGCAATATCGTGGTTCCTCACTTGCCCCAGGCTGATAAAAAAGCTTCTCAGAATAACTAGGAAGTGAGGACTCTCTCTTGGCTAGACAGTGTCAGTTTCAGGAAAATCAAAGAACGTGGCGATGAAAAGAGAAATGATAAGCAGCTTCTGCGTTAGCTCCTTGCAGCTTCTTTTATGTTAATTACGTGCTTATTTAGTATTGTTCAGCTTCTGCTCTCTTTAACAATAGCTAGAATTATGACTAAGCGGTACATTGGTTTTGGTGTCCACATTTACTTCTGTTTCAATTTTTATATTCAAGTATTTGTCCCTTCCCTTTCTAGATTAAATTGAAGGGTCAGGCTCATCATTGCGATTCAAAGGACTATTCTCCAACATTCGAATGGTTTGCCTATTTCATTTCCTAATCTTCCTTTGTTTTTCCAATTTTAGCTAAACACAAGAACAAAAACAGTAAGCCTGGTATATCCCTTCTGGACAGGCTTGTCTAAGAAAAATGTCTGTTTTTCTTTCTGTAGTCCATGCAGGAGGCCTCATTCTGTCTAAGAAAGCTTTTGTGGTCAGCTTACCTTAATTTGACCCTTTAAGCAAGGTTCACTGCACACAGACCGCACCATTCCACTCTTGTTCATTTGGATTTTGTAATCATCGATGTTCAACACGCCTTCGTGCCAGGTTCCGACATGTACATAGTCATAGCGATTAGCTTCGGTGTACTGCAGGTTCATGATATCATACCTACAGGGAAAACAACACATGTGCCTTGGACAATATGGACATGATCTAGAAAACAAAGAAATTTGGTAAATAGATGTCATAGAGAGAAGGGAGATAAAAAAGCTAGAATTATCTCACGGCCTAACGCTTGTCAATATTTTCGTTTGTTTCTAATGTTTCTCCCAATTTTCCAAAATGTGTGTTTCCTTCTTTAGTCTCTGTGTATTGTCCATATTTGCTAAAGAATGTATTACTCCTGCACTTTTCTCTCTGCTTATTCTATTCAAAACTAATCCTATATGTGTTGAGTTGATTATCATCTCCTTCAAATCATTATTCACTAAGTTATTCTTTGAACAAGTCGTGATTCTTCATTGATTTCTTTTCTTTTCTTTTTTAATTGTCTAATGTCCATTTATTTTTGAGAGAGAGAGAGAGACAGAGTGCAAGTGGGGGAGGGGCAGAGAGAGAGGGAGACACAGTATCCGAAGCAGGCTCCAGGCTCCGAGCTGTCAGCACAGAGCCCCACACAGGGTTCAAACTCACAAACCACGAGATCATGACCTGAGCTGAAATCAGACGCTTAACTGACTGAGCCACCCAGGCACCCCAATTTCTTTTTTTTAATGTTTATTTATTTCTTTTGAGAGAGAGAGTGTGCATGCAAGTCAGGGGGAGGCAGAATGAGAGAGGAGGAGAGAGAATCCCAAGCAGGCTCCATGCTGTCAGCGCAGAGCCTGATGTGGGGGCTTCATCTCAAACCATGAGATCACAACCTGAGCAGAGATCAAGAGTCAGACGTCCAACTGACTGAGCCATCCAGGCGCCCGGAGACTATTAATCTCTTAACTTGATTACTGTCATTCTGATGTTCTTTTTCACATTCGGTTGCCATTTTCATTACACTGGATCAAAAGAAGTGAGTTTTACCAAGTCTGGAACCTATTTGAGGTGCTAATAAAGCAAGAAATCTGAGAAACAGCAGCTTTAATTAACAAGGATGTTGGGGATTTAGCATCTTGAGCACTGACATTTAAACTGGTCTCTTCCCTGATTAGGACAAACATTTCTGAATCCAAATAATCGGTGTCAGTTACTTCAGTTATTTCAAATGCTGCAATGGTACACTATGGCAACATCTACATTTAGAAACTCACACTGCAGCCAGAGGGTGCTTTGGGGGCCAGACCTCATCATTTTCCAGCATGGGCAATGGAGAACATTCTCCAATGCGATGAAAAGAGCACAGGACTTGGCATTAGAATGCATAAGCTAGAATCTCTTTTCTAACATTTTAACAGTAGATTATACTACTTAGGAATTTCACTAACCGCTTAAAGGCTCACAGGGTTCTTGTGGGGATTTATTGACATAAGGCATGTAAAAAAAACTATTTTACAACTGGGACAAATGCATACGTAAGCCAATATCACTGTATCATTCATATTTGTATTACTATGAATGCCCTAAAATACTCTAGTTATTTCCATTACTGTACAAAAACTGGAGAACATTTTTATACTTGCACAGCTATTTCTCTCTCAGTCTTTGCAAATTCTCTGGCCTTCTTCAATCTTCTCTCCATGTTGCTCTTTACTCTGAGTAAACTATAACTCATTTGGCAGTTTCCCAAAAATGTATGTCTGACTCTCCCTTTCTGGTTTTGCAAAGTGGAATTCTCTTTGCTGTAATACCTACGCAGAGTTCCCACCATGCTGCCCTAGAATAGAGAGGGATGGTCTCTTTCTCTTTGTGCTGGACCTGAGGAAATAGATGGAATTAACTAATATGCATTCCTCTTCCTCATCTTCCAACCCCCCACACCCTTACCTAATCCATTCTGGAATTCTTTCTCTCTAAACCCTATGCAGACTCAGAGTCCCAGTCCAGCACTCTCAGGAAGCTATTGTCAACCTTAGTTGGCTTCCAAAACCTATTTGCTATAAATGTCTTAGTTCTTTATTTAGACAACTACTATCCTTTGTTGGCTTTCCTGCCTGTTCTTAACGTGCAAACACATTCTGCCACCCACAGGGTGACTAGTGACTTCTCCACATCCAAATTCTGGCAATTTCTCCAAAGGGAAAGGGGACTCTGGGAGAGCGAAAGAAGTTTTTCCTCATTTTCCAGAAGAGACCTTACCACGTCAGAAAGGAAAATGGCACACCTGGAGCATATTATTAATTTCTTTGTTGTGCAGATTTTTGGCTAATAAATAAAAGTTCTGATTCTTCTTGTTGCTGAGCCGTACCCACATGTTCTTCTTAGTGGCTCTCTGAGCGACACCCAAGTGGGTATTGATTGTGGGCTATCGGCCCCTATTCATCTTGCTGATCAATGATGCTAATATATACCTCCAAAATGTTTCCATTTTAAACTCGTTATGGTTATAGAACCTGCTGTGAATGTTTGGTGAATAATTTCCATTTTTATTTCCCTTAATTTTTATGTTTTACCCCATATTGTTATTGACTTTCCATACATACTTTCAGCGAAGGCTTTGGTGCAATGCCAGCTTTAGAGTATCTTTTTCCTATAGATCAGTTTCCTAAGACTTATTTCAACATTTGCTCTTCAAAAGGAGAGATCAATTCACACTTCGTTAGCATTTAGAAACTGAAAAATTTGTAATATTTTGGTATGAAAACACATTTTCAAAAAGTCACAAAAGCTGGAGGAAAAAAAATACTGAAAGATACCAAGGGAAAAACATGAGATACTAAATAGAGCCTTCTCCTGTGCTATGTGTGTTAATGAACACCGCTCTTTTCTCTTGACCCTAGAGTCTCTTCTCAGCATGTTGGCATTTATTTGGAATATCCATATGCTGTAAATTACAATTTTATAGCACCCTCTCAATGCACTCGGTTTATGTTGCATGATGATTAACTAAAATAATTACAAGAGGGACCAAAAGCATGAATGGTGGTATGAGAGGGGATGGAAGCAGAGGGAGGTGGTTGAGACCAAAACTGAACACAGAATAAGATGACCAGTTTCAAGCATGAGGAAATGATCCTGGAAAGGCACCCAGAGGAAAGCTCATGATTTAAATATGTAATTGCACAGAGGAAAAACCAGCTAAAAGTACGTGCCTATATTTTGGATAACTTACAAATAAAGAGATCAGGAGGAAACTCATATGTATGGAGTGTCTAAAATGCATCTGGAGGGGTGCCTGGGTGGCTCAGTCAGCTAAGCATCCAACTCTTGGTTTCAGCTTAGGTCATAATCTCATGTTCATGAGCTCGAGTGATGTACCTGGCTCTGCGCTGGCTGTGTGGAGCTTGTTTGGGATTCTCTGTCTCTCTCTCTCTCTCTCTCTCTGCCCTTCTCCCACTTACTCTCTTTTTCTCAAAATAAACAAACAAAGAAACAAACTTAAAAAAAAATTCATCTGGCCTTGTACTAGGCACATTGTATATATCCTTTTACAGAATCATGAAGGAAGGCTTCCATACCAAATCTGACAGTGTACAGATCCCAGTTTCCAGTGGAACCCAGGATTACAACCAGGCGCTTAAAGGGGAGAGTGGTCAGTGCTCTGAATCCCAGGTCCACTTGTTCCCTTTGGTACAGTTTCCTAAGGTGCCCAGCACCTGGAAGTTTTCCACATTCCCAGGCCCTAAATCATTCCATCCACCCCACTCACGTTTTGATATAAATCTCCTCCTACCTAACTGCAGCTGGGAAGGAATCTGATAAATCCATCATTGTAATTGCTGACAATTACTTATATCACTTATCCTTCCCAGGGCTGTTGGATTTTCACAGGGAGAATCCCCACAAGGCACTCTCTGAACACAGAACTTTAAGCTTACATGATAGGAAGAGATATGTCAAGAATTATTTAGGGTCAGATAGTCTCTTACAGTACCTCTGAAATGACATTAAGAAGGCTGCCAGCAACTTTGCCCAATTTTAGGATTAGCTAAAAGGCAGGGCGATATGGCAGAAAGATTATAGGCTTCAGATCCAGACGGCACTGCCTCTACCAGCTACTCTCTACATGAATTTAGGTGAGTTTTTTAGTTTCTTTGACACTCAGTTTCTCATCTGTAAAAGAGGATAATGATATGCCTATAGCAATGAGGATTAAATGATTTGATGTTCCATTTTAGCACAACATATGCTTTCCTAAAATTTCTCATTCTGTAAAATCATATACTGAAAGATAACAGGGCTTATGAGAGAGAGAGACAGAGAAGAAAAAAAAAAAAAACAAGATTGTGGGCATACTGCATAGCAGCCAAGCTGAGGGCCTTTTTCTTTCCTGCTGCAGACTTTAATCTTCCCCTGCGATTCTGATTATCCCTTGCCTAGAAAAAAACATTCATGTGAACGAACATCAGTTTGTTTGTATGCCTGGAAAACTGCACTTTAAACTGACATCATTCCCTACCAATCATATGTGAGCTAACTGATGTTATAAAAGCAGCTGTTGCAGAACAGCGTATAAAATGATATGGGGGAAAATATACATATTAGTTAGGTTTAATTTTTCTTTGCTTCTTGATTCTTTGGAAGCCATAAAGATTCGATACCAGAAAGAAAATTCTTTTTTCTTGTTTTCTTTCAAGAGACATATTAGCAGGAATATAAGTTAGCCTGAGAAGAGGGGATACATGAAGAGGATTTGGTACTCTTCAAATATTAAGCTCTTATTAAAATATTACACAACCAGGGGCGCCTGGGTGGTTCAGTCAATTAAGAGTCTGACTCTTGATCTCAGCTCAGGTATTGATCTCATGGTTTGTGGGATTGAGCCCCACATCAGGCTTTGCGCCAACAGCGTGGAAACTGCTTGGGGTTCTCTCTCTCTCTCTCTCTCTCTCTCTCTCTCTCTCTCTCTTTCTCTCTCTCTTTCTCTCTCTCTCTCTCCCCCTCTATCACTCTGTCCCTCCTCTGCTCACTTTCTCCCTCTCTCTCAAAATAAATAAGTAAGCCTTTAAAAAAGCATATTACACAACCAGCATGGCCTTCCAACCGATCAATCAGAGAGATGCTGGTCTGGTGTTAGCACTGCCAGAGAGGGTCCTGCCACCCAGGTGTCATCTTTCCAGTTTCCTGGGCTTGTACACATCCTGAGGGAAGGGCTGGGGTGATAGCTGGGTAGGGGGGATCCACTGGAAGAATACAGGATTGTGGGTTTACCAGTAAGTTTTCAATGTTTTATGACATAACGTCCAACTGAGATTAGCCCTATCGTCTTATCTATTAAGTCATATCTATTCTCCTGACACCTGGAAACCATAGAAACAAAGGACCCAGAGTTGCCATCTGTCTACTCATAGAGGGTCCCACGGTTATCTGAACCCAATACAGAACAGATGGCTTTACCTTCCAGGAGCATCCCCTTTCTCATCAAACCACACTTCCTCTCCAGACACACCGATGAATGTGGACTTGATGAGGAAGTCCAGGAGTTTGCTACCGTCGATGGGCTTCATGGCATCACAGAGGCCCACGTGGCCCGGGCAGAGGGCATGGTGCATGTTCTGTAACCCGTGAGCCATGGCGTAGATGGCGTTGATGACAAACCCCATCTTACTGTCCTGGACATAGTTTTCTTCTAAGCTTTCATTGCCTGCAACACAAAAACAGACTGCTACCAAGGTTGCAATAATGAGGTCTCGGAACACATGTTTTATTCTCAAATGCTTTTCAGGGCTCTCAGAGGAAGGAAAAGCCAAGTCCACTTGTACAAGCCTTGTACTTGTGACTAGCACTAATTCTAGCTGCAAATAGCTTATTCAATTTTATTTTCTGAATTCAATAATGGTTTTATAACATATGACACAAACTCCATACAGGTGAAAATAAAGAACTTTCAAATATTGCAAGGAAATCCTTCAGGAGCAATGAAAATAACTCTTATTCTCTCTTGGCTCACAGAAACTTATATTAAAAGTCTCCCTAGATCACGGTACATTTTTAATATCCTCTATGACAATGCACAACCTATAATAACTCAGTTTGTGCATTACCTAAGCCCTGATATTTTCTTTTGATGATTCGACTAATTTTTTTATATCTAGGGCCACAAAAATCCAGAGTAAGAACTAGATAGTATAAATATCTCCTTATATATAGTTGACAGTATAGAAATATTTGAATCAGATTTGCTGATTATTGGAAACCGAGGTAAATTGTTTCTTGATGGAAAAGTCATACTAGACACTTACTTTTAACATTTAACATTTACCAGTGAATTTCAAAAACCCTGCAATCATTTTCACCTGTGTCAAAAGTGATGTAAAGTTCCCCAATTGCCAAACGAGTTTCACAAGAACAGTATCGACTTAGATATGAGCTCCATATCAGAAGTGTAAATTTGAGGACTTATGTATGGATGAGAAATTCAGAAACCAACTGGATTTGTTGAAAAAAAAAATAACAGGTTTTTAAAACAAAATCGATTTGAAACACATCACTGGAATAATTGAGAGATGGTGTATTTAGTTCCAGAAACTTGCTTTTGTCTACAGTGGGCTTTTCCTCCCCTCCCCCCACCCAGACTGATCGTTTCTGGGGGGTGGGAGGCCTATGGTGTGTGTTCCAGGTGCCAGAAGGTGGGAAAGGTGGTGAGTTTAGCTATTGATGGGACTGAGAACACCACAAGGCCCCTTGCACCCCAACCAGATGACCTCTTTGTGCCAGCCTAGATAGGCCACTGGACACTAAAGTTCCAGCCCGAGAGCAGCAGAGAAGTTAAAGAAGGTTGGAGTGCTTATAAGAGAAGGTAAAGAGTCTTGATACTGATGTTGAGCTTGAGATGAAATAAGACATTTCTAAAAGTTATTTTTAAAAGCTTAACTGTTGGGTGGACCAGTTGGTTGAGCGTCTGACTCTTGATTTCGGCTCAGGTCATGATCCCAGGTCATGAATCCAGCCCCGTGTCAGGCTCCATGCTGAGCATAGAGCCTGTTTAGGATCTTCTCTCTCTCCCTCTCTCTCTCTCTTTCTCTCTCCCCCACCCCCCACCCCTCTCTACTCTCTCTTTCTCTCAAAAATAAATAAATAAACTTTTAAAAAAAGCTTAACTACTTAGATATAGCTGAAAATGTGAAAAAGATACAGGACTTGTATCTACCCTAAGCATAAGATACAAAATACTGGGGCCAGGCTGAAGAGGGGAAACATTCAATTTTACCTCATCTTCCAATGTTGCTTAATAGGAAATTATTAAAAATGTGATTTATTAAAGTAATATTTTCTCATTTGAAAGGATATTTTCTGAGAGGAAATAAAGAGTATGACAGGCAGAAAGTGCTTTGAAATCAAACTACACAGAACAACTATAGAAAGTTATGTACAGCAGAAAGCAAACATCCTTGCAAAAACTGCTAAGTCAAATCATTAAAACAGGGTGACTTATGTCTGTCACCCAGAACCCTTGGCTCTTACCGTCAATTTCCTTTCCTTCTCTTTTATATTAGGGTATAAAGGAGATAAATTAATGTCATCTATCTGGTGAGATTTATTTATTTATTTATTTATTTATTTATTTATATGTTTATTTTTGGTAGAGAGAGACAGAGTATGAGTGGGGGAGAGGCAGAGAGAGAAGGAGACACAGAATCCAAAGTAGGCTCCAGGCTCTGAGCTGTCTGCACAGAGCCTGACATGGGGCTTGAACTCACAAACCATGAGATCACAATCTGAGCCAAAGTTGGATGCTTAACCTACTGAGCCACCTAGGTGTCTCTGTCTGGTGAGTTTTAAACAAGGCTTTAAACACTGTTTGAAACTTCCAAGTGCTAGAGCTATATGTTAAAGCTACTAGAATTAGATATGTTACCAGGAAGTAAAGAAAGAAAGAAAAAAAGAACAGACAAAAACTGAGAGGCAAAATTAACCTTCACTGCAGCAGCCACTTAAAGGGTCCTAGTTAATACTAAAACCACCTGCTTCAAGTGGCAGTTATTAAAGTCAACCCAGGAGCAAAGTACAGAAAAATATGAGAATAAACCCCTGGTGTTCTTCATGGAAAATTCTCTTATCAGGGGCAAGCCTTATGACCACTGAGTTTGTTGTTTTTGTTTGGTAACTGCCATTAAAGATTTATTATATATTTTTTAAATTATGTCGGTGTCCCTAGTACAAATTTTTTAAGCCATGGTTTGTCTAGTGGACATATTATATCTAAGCATTGAGGCTGTAACTGTTCCTGGATTTCTTGAAAATCAGTAGTTTCCTTTTGAACCTTATTTAGGGTGATCATATAAATTATTGTCCAAACTGGGTCACTTTTGAGAGTGAAGCAATATTATTCTGGAAGCACCGGTGCAAACAAGACAGACTGGTCAAACGGCGACACATTTCTTAAGCCACGCTAGCCTCTAACTGTAGCTATTTACTGATGTTATTATGGGTAATGTATTACATATATAAAATACATGTATATATACATACATATATAATAAAAATCAGTAGAATATTGTCAATTTTAACTAATTTTAAATTTATCTAATGTTAATGGGAAATATACACCTTAAAACTAGCTGCTATTGGGGCACCTGGGTGGCGCAGTCGGTAAGCGTCCGACTTCAGCCAGGTCACGAGCTCGCGGTCCGTGAGTTCGAGCCCCGCGTCGGGCTCTGGGCTGATGGCTCAGAGCCTGGAGCCTGTTTCCGATTCTGTGTCTCCCTCTCTCTCTGCCCCTCCCCCGTTCATGCTCTGTCTCTCTCTGTCCCAAAAATAAATAAAAAAACATTGAAAAAAAATTAAAAAAAAAAAAAACTAGCTGCTATTTATTGGATTGTTTATAAATGCTCAAATAATGAGTTCATGATAATCCCGCCAAATAGACATTAATCTCACCATTTACAAGTGAGGAAAGAGCAGAGGTATCCAAATGCCCTCCTGATCTTTGTTCTTTCTGTTACACCCTGTGGCAATGTGGTTGCAGATATAGAAATCTACAGAAAGGGCACTTTTCTGGTGGCTGAGGAGAGGGCATCTGCTATGCACCAGTATCATTGTCAAGCTGGTTTGAAGCTTTCCCTAGGATCCTTCTAGATGTGCACAGCTGTCTCTCTGACTAGAAGTCCTGACACATAATCTTCTAACGGCAATCTATAACGAAGAAGCCCATCCTGGTAATATTTATTATACAGAGAGCCGGGAGGCTAGTAGGCACATGTTTTCAGGAAATGTTTGTAATTCACACCCCTTTCCAAAATAAACACCAACAGCTTGTGTGTTTTGTGTGAATCTGAAGCAAGCACATGCACTTCCCTACCCTGAAAGTCCACTGGCTCTGTCTGCACATGCAGGAGGTACCACCATCAGGAAGAACTCTCTCTCTAGCTACTACCCCAGCTCAGTATGAACTAGCATTTGGGAAGGTGCAACATTAGAGTCCGAAAATTGGCCTTTACAGGACCATTTTCTTTGCCATAGCAACTGTCTCAGGTAATGTTGCAAGGATCTATCACTGAACAAACAGAATATGTCACAGGTTTTCCCGTTTCCCCCAAATCCTATATTTTCATGACCAGTGAATAGAGAATCCAAACTAATAATATTGTCACTTGGTGGGAAGGTGAAAACACGGTGGTTCCCTGGGGTTTAGTCCCTTTTCATAACACTAGTCTCAGAGTTTTTAGTGAGAAGGGGTTTTTATGATTCATTTTTTCTGCTGTGTGCTAACTGTTACAGACCACTAGGGTATCATTAAACCATTACCTTTTCTAATATGCTAAGTGGAAGAAAATAATTGTAGTTGCCTGTGTTTATTTACCTTCAAAAGAATACCTGTCTAACTACTTGAGTGGATTGTGCAAATAGCTGTCTTGATTCTAAGCAGTAATCTTGTTCCTATTGCTACAGTGCAATAAAGGCTACAAATTGCTTCCTGAGTAAGGCAGCACACAGGGCCTCCACGGGGGTAGCAACTGACTGTGTAGCTTCAGAAAACACGGTGGTCGGGACAAGGGCTGGCGATTCTGTCTGCTGCCACGTAGGATGGCTACTCTGTAGAGCAGTGTAACAGAAAGAACTCTGCACCAGGCACATGAGCACCTGGAACCCACAGGCGGTTCTGCTAGAACACATTAACAGTACATTTCCCACAAGCCATGGAACTTAGATAAGGGTCTAGACCTCCTTGGGTCTCGGTTTTCCAATTTAAAAAAAAAATGCCACAAGTGTATCAGATTATCTTTCGAAGATCCCTTGCCCGTCTGAAGTTTCTATGCTTTGCTTTTCCAATTCTACATTTACTGGTACTTGGCAAAGCCAATCGCATAGCTTATCTTTTTTTACTCTTTACACAACTATATGAGATAAGTTTATTCTCACTGGTTTACACATAGGAACACTAAAGTTAAGTCACAGTTGGGGAGAAACGTCTCTCTTTCCCTTCAGTTAATGCTTCTGTTGAAGAAACTCCCTATTAAGTATCACCTCGGATTTTTGACTCACCTACTGGGAAGAGAAGAGTGATTCATTTTATTGATGTACTGAGAACAAGAAACTGGGCATGCTCAACTCCTCCCTTTGCTCTCTCCCTTGGAGCCAATGACCTGACAGTACTCAAAGGTTCTGGTTAGTCACAGGCCTTGGGAAGATGTGGCTTGTCAT